GTTCAAACGTCAACCAACCACATAGACTCTTTAGGTGGCGTGTTTTGTGAGAACGGTTGGTCCACCTGCTCCACGGCGAAGTAAATGCGGCTGTACAGTTCGGCCTGCGTATGGACGGCCTGGGGAGCGTTGTCACGGTAACCCATCAGGAACAGATGCCTGAACGCTGCCGTGTTTTCCTCCTTGAATGTCACCACCATCTGGTTGCTCAGTCCGAACAGCACCAGCTAGGAGGCAGAAGCAAACACAGAACTGTTCAGCTCAGCTGTGACACAAACACACAGGTTATCTGAGGACACGCGCAGCCATGACACCATGTTTCCGCACGTTGAAACGCTGTGTAAACTGTAAATAAAAGCAGAACAAAATGATTCATCAATCCCATGACCACAGATTTCATTCACGATGGACAACATGCCAAATGAAAACATGTACTTATTTTTTCCTATTCACGGTGCCTTTCCAGACAAGTAAGCTGCCCATGCTAGAGGCATCAATGCACCCCCATACCATGAGAGAAGCAGACTTTTAAACTAGAGAAATTGCATTTCCTGTGAAAATGCAGTGTGAATGCTTATTGCTGAAGAACTTGCTGAAAAACAACTGAAATTAACTAAAAACATGCTGAAAGTAGCTGAAATGGAAAAACAAGCCTAAGTTAGCAGAAGAAAGAATAGATATTTGCAGAATTTGGTTTAAATAAAAAGAAATTAGCAAAAAATTGGGAAATTTGCTAAAAGAAAATAGGCTGAAAAAGAAGTTGAAAAGGCCAAAAGAAACCTAAAGTACCTGAAGGATGTGGAAGGAGCTGATATGAGCTCAAAAAATGTGGAATTAACTGAAAAATCTAAATTTAGCACAAAACAGCTAAAAAGTAGCTGAAATAGCAAAAAAATAAAATAAAATAAAAATAAAAAAAATGAAAAGTGCATAACAAGCTTAAATTAGCAGAAATAAGTTAATTATGCTAAAAGCACACAAAAACCCTTGAATTTATATGAAAACAGCTTAAATGAGCTAAAAATGCTAACAAGTTAGAACAAGCCAAATTAGCTAAAGAAAGCAGAAAGAACATGTTTGCCCAGTTTGGCTGAAAGAAGCAAAAATGAGCACAAAAAAAGGGGAAATTATCTGAAAACAGTTTAAATTAGCAACAACAACAAAAAAAAAAAACAGCTGAAAAGGAGCTAAAGAAGCAGAAAGAAACTGAAATTACAAGAAGGAAGTGGAGAGAGCACATTTTTACTGAATTAGGCTGAAAATACTTGAAATGAGTGCAAAAAATGTGGAACTAGCTGAAATAGCTTAAATTAGCATAAAAAGCTATATAGTAGCTGAAATGGTAGAAAAAGCTGAAAGTTGCAGAAATAAGCTGAAAGCAGCATAACAAGCTGAAATGATCAGAAAGAAGTTAGAAGAAACACAAAATGTTATAGAAGAAAGAACCTTAAAGAACCACATAACAGCTGAAAGTAGCTGAAAAAAGTTTAAATTTGCACAAGGAAGCTGAAAGAAGCTGAAGCAGAACAAAATGTGAAAGGAGCAGTAAAAGGTTGTAAACAGATGTAAAGATTTGAAGGATGTAAAATGAACTCAATTCATTCCTATGAAAAAAACGTGTCAGAAAAGGCTAAATATTTCAAAAAGCTAAAGTTGCAGCAATACCAAAAGTCATAGCAGGATTGTCCTGAAAGAGCTGAATGTTTTGGTTTATGATTTAATGAAACAGTCTGAAACTACGGGGTGAGAATCGCGCCGAAAAACGTACAAAGAAAAATAGATGACAATAGTGTGAATGTTTCATAAGCATTCACACCATTAGCAGCTGTTAACATCTGGATGGAGCCCCTCCTCTTTAGGGTGTGGCGTTTGTGGTTACAAAAAAATAATTTCAGATTTTGATTTGACCACGGGACAGTTGTTCACGTCGCGTCAGTCCATTTTGAAAGAGGGACAGTTTTTCACAGAATGGTGAACCTCTGCCCATCTTTTCTTCTGAAAGATTCAAACACTTTAAAACAATATTTTTATACTCCGCCCTCTGCCTGGCCTGTTGCCAACTACCTGAGTTAGTTACACATGTTTCCTCCAGCTGTTTCTGACCCGCACCTTCTTACTTTTACAGCCTTTTGTCGCCTCTGCCATCAAAATCAAACCCACCGTATTTTTCTTCAAAAATAGTACAACTTCTTAGTTTGAACGTTTGACATACTTCCTGTCTTCCACTGTAATAAAGTATGGTTTTATGATATTTGCAAACCACTGCGTTCCATTTAACATTTTAGATGATTACTGGTTATAATGGATGTATCTGCTGTGAACACCTGCACGGTCACGATGATGATTTTGAGCAGCTGCAGAGCCAGCTTGAAAGGCTTGCGTCCCTTTGCGTGATATTTGTCACAAGGGCTCATGAAGAAGTACTTGAGCTTCCTCCTCAGCGCCTCCTCCTCCTCCTCCTCCTTCAGCAGCCGCTGGAACTGGGAGCCCGACAGACCACTGGGACACGGGCCACCGCCTGCGAGCACATCCTGGGAGCCGTAGTTGGATACAGTGGCCAGCAACTGGTTTTTCTCTGGAAAATACAAAAAGATTCACCTTTCCTAGCCTGGTGTCAAAAGATGATGTGTTTGTGTCTGTTAGCAAAATATCTCATGAACCACTGGACGAATTTTAAGAAAGGTTGCAGAATGTAAACAATGAATGAACAACTACAACTGATTCAAGATGGCCGCCACAGCTAACTGAACTTAGGAAACATAAAAATAAGTAAAGCTCATCCAGTGTTTAGAGATGTAAAATAAAATTTGGTGTGGTAGTAGCTGAGACTGATCCCCAACAAATACTCAAATTGTACTAACAGATTGCGCAATAACTGTGTTTAAAATGTAACCATGAACAGTTGGAGTCAACTCTTATGTCTGTTAGCAAAATATCTCATGAACCACTGGATGGATTTTTCTCAAACTTTCGGGAAACAGTGAATCGGTGAACATTTACAACTCTTTAACTTTTGGAGTCAGGCCAATTCAACATGGCTGCCTTTACAAACATCAAGACTCAAAAACTGCTATAACTTTCAAATGAGTTAAAATCTGGTGATTTGTTAAAATACATCCAAATATATCTCTCACACACACACACACACACACACACACACACACACACACACACACACACACACACACACACACACACACACACACATTTACATGATCACCCGCCCAATCTCATGATTGAAAGATAAAAATGTTGTTTGGTTTCTGCTGCAGTAGATTGTCAGTCTCAGCGCACACACATTATAGTTTTAGTCTATAGGAGCCTCTGATAAGGAAAAATCCATGGAGGAACAACAGAAGGAGCACACGGACCGGCTGGAGAACAGGGAGGAGGACTGACCTGCGGAGTCCAGGATGGAGGGGGGACCGGAGGAAGCCATGCCGCCGAGGGTGACCGCAGCTGGGCATAACCAGCTGGAACACCCGCTACAGGAGGAGCTGTGGAGCCCGAGGAGCCTCACCGCTGATAAAGGAGGACACAAGGTAAACACTTCGAAGCTTCCGCCTGACCACGTGACGCAGGTCACGTGATGCAGCAGCTCCAGACTGCTGCGGAAGATAAACACGAGCTGCGAAGGGAAGACAACACGCAGTAAAATGTTGCTCGTTGTGATTTTACTACACTTTTATTCAATATGTCAGGATCAATATATCAGGATCAGTATGTCAGGATCTGAACCTACAGCGCCATCGAGCACAGTGATTAAAGGGGTATTTCAAACATTTTGAAGTGGAGCTTTGGAAATGTTAATATCTTACCTGCTGTAGATAGCTCTTTCTATGGACACAATTTAGATCATTGAAGTTTAATTCTGACCCAATCAATGTACTGGGCACCAGTTGCAAAATTAAATGCATTTTAAAAATAATTAATCCTCAGAAAATTGTTTAAGACAAAGTTGTTAAAGGGAGTGATCAACCACCTTATCTAACTGCTTAAACATACTATTTATTCATATTTTTGTCAACAATAAACTATAGTCTTTTACTTCACAGTTTGTTTATTATTTTATTTATTAAAAATTATTAACAAAATATTTATTTGATGGCATTTTTTAAAGCCCACGGCTTTGTGCTTTGTTTATCCACTTTTTAACCAGTTTGACACGACTGTCATCAAGGAAAAGGGCCAGCAATGGAGGAGGGGCATACCAAAGAGACCATCTTATCACAAGCAGAACTGGTTTGTTCCACTTTGGAGTAAGCTGTTGGGGGAAGAATCAGTTTTGTTGTGTTTCCTTGACTGATGAAGCCTTCTGGATCGAAGGCGAAACGTTTCAGCACACAAAAAAGAAACTGTCCAGATGACCTGACTGAAAAATGTTGGATTTTTAACCTGGATTATTGAGCATGGACTTTGTTGCATTTATATTGGGTTTCAATAGGGACAATTTCCCCTAATGAACGCTAGAGGGCAGCAACGGCACTGTGAGGTTACAGAAACAATCAAAAACGATTCTGACAAAAAATATTAATTTTAAGACTATAATAATATTAAAAATAATATTAAAATAATATTCTGTCAAAAAATATTTACTGACAACACCAAAAACAATGAAACAAATAAAAACAAACAAAAATAATGGGTTGTAGATAACTCTCCTCGAGATCTTACAAGGGTTTAACATTTTTTTAATGTAATAAAAGTTAAAACTAAATGATAAATATGTAAAAATTATATATTTGATGTAAAAGTATTTAGAAATTGAACTTTGCCTTTGCAGTGATGTCATCATTCTGCGACAGCTAAACTGTTAATAACTGATAATTTCAGCTGCTGCTTTATGATTTAGGACCCTTGCATGTGTCATACTGTAGGAAAAATATTGTTTCCAATTGTAGCGTGGTAGATTCCTCTCCCGGAGCCCTGCATCTGAGAAACGCTCTAATGAAGCAGAGGATTCAGGTACAGAGACATGTGCTGCTGCTAATCCTGCTAGCCTCAGATATTTATGTCCCTTCCATGTTCTCCAGTCCAGCGGATCAGTGCAGTGGAACATATTCTGACAGTAAAGCTGAGCTTAACTGCCCATAGTTTCCACTTTGTAATCCTTTCAAAATAAAATACAATGGCAGAAGTTAAGAGGGGACATTTTGAGTTATTTTCATTTCTGATGTTTCATGTAAAAAAAAAAAGCACGTCTACTGCAGGTGCCAATGTAATAAAAGACAGTTGCATTTCTTTTTCATTCCACCAGTTTTAACAATCTTATTCCAGTCGCTGCCTGTACTGTCCAAATCAACACGTTGCTGCTTTGAAACAGTTCCAATCTCCAACTTTCATCGGAGTTCAGGCAAACGTTTTTGTCAATATCAATGTTGCAGGATACTATTATTTTTGGCTGAAATATTTGGAGATGCTCTCAAGCTGCATCACAAGTGCTACTGCTAGTTGCTGCTGCTGTGATTTGAAATGACTAAAGTCACTACCAGTGTAATGCAAACCTGACATTTTTGAGAAATAGTCATTTTTAGTTAGGTAGGAATCCTCTTAGGTCTTTGACGGACTCCAGCGAGTCATTAGGTAGTCGGTCCAGTCAAATTTATATTTATTTGAGCTGCAGCTGTTTACAACAGATGTTTTGTTTAAAACTTTTCCACAGAACCCCCACTTCAAAATGACTGAAATGTTTCTTTAAACACAACCACTGTTGTCAGGATCACATCAACTTGTAGACATTTTGTCTTTAATTCTTAAAAATGAAGAAAAAAAAGCACACCTGTTCACACAGTACTAATACAAATACCTAAAGAATTAACAAATACTGAAGACATGAACTCACTGATGGTCTTTTTTTATATTTTAACAAGTCTGAACAAAAAAAATCTACTACTTTATTGTCCACGACTGTTTTTGTGAAGCTACGGTTATAATCAAAGGTTTAATGGTAAGTGGAGTGTTTTTCTCATCTTTCACCACTACAAGACACATTCTCATACAGTGGGGACTTGGGGTTCAGTGTTGTGTTCAAGGACACATTGAGAAAGTGGGGGACGCTGGGGTCAAACCACCGGCAGCCAACTTCTCCGTCCCGAGCAGCACCCATGTCACCGTACAGAACATCCACCGGGGTGGTTTCGCTCGAGAATCACAATAGTTTAGTTTTATAATCCTACGGATAAAAGCCAGAATATAAAACAAACTTTCACAGTTTCATGATGTAAAACAAACAGAGATGATCCACAAAACCAACCAGCTGCACGTTTTCTTCTCTACAGGTGGGCTAGTGCAGCGCTGGCATCTACAAAGTGTCATCAGTGAGAGGCTCAGTCACAGATCATCTCACATCAGGAACAAACTCCAGCCCGGATCATTTGTTCTTGCTCCACACGGTCACCTCTTATCTGCCGTCCAGCGCCTTGTCCCTGGCTATAACCGACTCGTTGAACTTTATCATCAGGGTGGTGCCCTTGTGCCAGTGGGCGGTGACCTTGGCGGGGAAGCCGCTGTGTGTGAGGATGGCCTCCACAACGCCGGCGGTGAAGGCGGCGCAGTTCAAGCTGCTGTTCTCTTTGGGTACGGAGATGTAGGCGTTGATGAGCGGGTCCTTCTCTATGATGTAGTAGGTCTTGTCATCGTCGTTGGCCTGCTCCAGCTTATCGGCCTCCTTCCCGAACAAAGACTTCCAAACGTTAACCTGAGAACAACAAGATGCTTGTTAGTTTTAACGGTAAAACATCAACCCAAACGTTCATCTGTAAAGCAGCTCACTTTGATGAAGAGCAGCATGTTGAGCACTTTGGTCTCTCTCTTCCCGTTCTTCTCTCTCAGCACCAGCACATCCAGCATGTTGGCCCCCACCCTCTGGCCCATGTCGGCCAGGCGCGCCTGCAGCTCCGTCACGGAGTACACGCGGCTCTGACAGTACTGGACCATCTCGGAGAACAGCAGGGCGAAGGCACTCAGACTCACTTCGGTCTTAGGTCGACTCAGGGGCCGCTCCAGGATGGTGGACTTCCCTCGAGTGAACCGCGCGTCCATTTCCTGGATTTAGGGGAGAGGCACGTTTGTTTAAAACTTTGGAACAAAAGATGGCGGCAACGTTGCATCCTTCAAAAGAAAGTTTTAGATTTTTCATTGTCCAATTATTCATTCAACTGCTTTTAGTATTTCTGTGCAGAGCGGAAAGAGCAGAACACAGAAACTCATCATACACTGGAGGAGTCATGTCATATTTTCTCCTCTACCAGCCATCCTCTAGCAGTTACGCAACGTTATTGTTCAATCTGATACGAACAACAAAAACAATGCAAGGGTGTGATGATTTAATTCACAAATACAGATTATTTACCTCAGGACTGACTGAAGTTCTCAGAAGTTATTATTCCAAGAAAAAGTCTACTGAACAAATAATTCATTGTAAAGTTCCTGTTTGATTGATTATTGCTATAATTATTAACAACACAGCCACGCATGACTTAAATTTGTCCTAAAATGCCAAGAACACTAAAGTTCTGTCATGGAGGAGGAGCCATACCCACCTCGGTGGACTTCACCACTGTAAACGGTGATATTATAGAAGAGCTAACAGTTTATGAATGTTTGAGAATTTGGATCGATGGTGCTCTGTCCTTTTCACATGTTAATGTTTTGCAATCTAAGGTTAAAGAGAGACTTGGTTATCTATATGGAAATCGATCTCCGTTTACACTGGCTGCAAAACACACCATTGTTGTAAAAACTACCTGTGTTGGATTATGGAGACATTTTTCCATTCGTTCAACCTTTATTTATACAGTCTAGTCTCACTGAGCCACTAGGACTCATTTACAAGAGAGACCTGTTCCAGACAGAACATATAAAGTACAGACAACAATAAACTACAGTAAAAATGCAGTTAAAATACATGATTTCATAATACATAATTTACAGACATGCTTGTAAGGGTGTCCTTCAGAAGCTGGACACAATGCATCACTGCTATTCGCTTTGTTACAAATGCTCCTTACAGAACACATCAGTCACCTCTACTCTTGTTAAATGAACCTCTCTACATACTCGTTGTGAAATTCATTGGTTCACCCTCATTTATAAGATGTTGCTGGGTTATTCACCTCCATATTTAACTAGTCTATTGCAAGTGAAACCCGTTTCAAAGTATAACACCCAATCCTCTCGGTATTTGAGGTTAACTACTCTAAAGACAAAGTCTTGCTTTGGCTCGGTGGTCTTTACCTCTGCTGCTTCATGGGACTGGAATCTGCTTCAAAATACTTTGGGTCTGACCTCACTTGTCTCCGTTTCTACAGTACTTTTAGAAATGGTTTAAAAGCTGTGTTAAACGATACTTGCAAATGTTTTCATGCTTAGTAATAATGTCTTTTGACTTTGACAATGAACTGTTAGTCATTTGTGATGTCCTTGTTTGTTGACTACTGTATTTTACTGTTGTGCCTAACTGTATCGTTTCCCTTCCCTTGACCCTACAAGTGCATGTTGGTGTTGCCAGACCAGCACAGTAGACAATAATTTGTTCTTAGTGTTTATGCCTGGTCAAATAAAGGTGAAATGGAAAAAAAACAAACCTCTTCAAACATCCCATTCCTCTGTTCACCGACACTCTGACAGAGAATGCAGGAGATAGATGGATGGAAACATGTAGAAGAATATGTATCAAATAAATATCGGCTCCTGATATGAAATTTTTACAGCAACTTAAATACTCTGGCTCATGTTTTCTCAAGCGATAAGCTAGTTGTTGAGAACAAAATTAAAATAAATTGCAACAAAAAACTTATTGTGAGGGTCTGCTGGGAACGCCTGGCAGAGTCTCCCATGACACGGAGCTTTAACTCCCACCTCTGGGAGAGCTTCAAACGCGTTCCGGGGGAGGTGGGGGACATTGAGTCCAAGTGGGCCATGTTCCACGCCTCTATTGTTGAGGCGGCTTATCGGAGATGTAGCCGCAAGGTTGTCGGTGCCTGTCGCGGCGGTAACCATCGTAACCGGTGGTGGACACTGGCAGTGAGGGATGCGGTCAGGCTGAAGAAGGAGTCCTATCGGGCCTTTTTGGCCTGTGGGACCCCAGAAGCAGCTGATGGGTACCGGCAGTCCAAGCGACATGCGACTCAGGTGGTTGCTGAGGCAAAAACTCAGGGGTGGGAGGAGTTTGGAGAGGCCATGGAGAATGACTTCCGTACGGCTTCGAGGTGATTCTGGTCCAGCATCTGGCGTCCCGGGGGGGAAGCGGTACACCACCAACACTATTTATAGTGGAGGTGGTGTGCTGCTGACCTCAACTCGGGATGTCGTGGGTTGGTGGACAGAATACTTTGAAGACCTCCTCAATCCCACAGGCACATCTTCCACTGAGGAAGCGGAGCCTGGGGACTCTGGGTAGGGTCCTCCAATCTCTGGTGCTGAGGTCACCGAGGTGGTTAAAAAGCTCCTCGGTGGCAGGGCCCCAGGGGTGGATGAGATTCACTTCAAGTTCCTTACGGCTCTGGATGTTGTGTGTTGTGTTTGCTTACATGACTATACAATATTGCATGGACATCGGGGGCAGTTCCCCTGGATTGGCAGACCGGGTGGTGGTCCCCCTATTCAAAAAGGGGGACTGTAGAGTGTGTTCCAACTACAGGGGGATCACACTCTTAAGCCTCCCTGGTAAGGTCTATTCGGGGGTTCTGGAGAGGAGGGTCCATCGGATAGTCGAACCTCAGATTCAGGAGGAGCAGTGCAGTTTTCGTCCTGGTCGTGGAACACTGGACCAGCTCTACACTCTCAGCAGGGTCCTGGAGGGTGCGTGGGAGTTTGCCCAAACAGTCTACATGTGCTTTGTGGACTTGGAGAAGGTGTTCGACCGCGCCCCTCTGGGAACCCTGTGGGGGGTACTCTGGGAGTATGGGGTACCAGGCCCTTTGGTACGGGCTGTTAGGTCCCTGTATGACCGGTGTCAGAGCCTGGTCCACATTGCCGGCAGTTAGTCGGGCTCGTTCCCAGTGAGAGTTGGGCTCAGCCAAGGTTGCCCTTTGTCACCAATTCTGTTCATAACTTTTATGGACAGAATTTCTAGGCGCAGCCAAGGTGTTGAGGGGATCCATTTTGGTGGCCTTAGGATTGCATCTGTTTTTTGCAGACAATGTGGTCCAAGTGGCTTCATCAGGTCCCGATCTACAGCTTTTGCTGGAGCGGTTCGCAGCAGACAGTGACGTGACTGGGATGAAAATCAGTTCCTCCAAATCCGAGGCCATGGTCTTGAGCCAGAAAAGGGTAGAGTGCCCTCTCCCGGTCGGGGAGGAGGTCCTACCCCAAGTGGATGAGTTTAAGTATCTTGGGGTCTTGTTCACGATTGAGGGAAAAATGGAGCGTGAGATCGATAGGCAGATAGGTGCAGTGTTGGCAGTGATGCGAGCGCTGTACCGGTCTGTTATGGTGAAGAGAGAGCCGAGTCAAAAGGCGAAGCTCTCAATTTACATGTCAATCTACGTTTCTACCCTCATCTATGGTCGTGAGCTTTGGGTTGTTACCGAAAGAACGAGATCACAAATACAGGCGGCCGAAATGAGTTTTCTCCGCAGGGTGTCTGGGCTCTCTCTTAGAGATAGGGTGAGAAGCTCGATCATCCGGGTAGAGCCGCTGCTTCTCCACGTCGAGAGGAGCCAGTTGAGGTGGCTCGGGCATCTGGTTAGGATGCCTCCTGGACGCCTCCCTGGTGAAGTGTTCTGGACACGTCCCACCGGGAGGAGACCCAGAGGAGGACCCAGGACACGCTGGAGGGACTATGTTTCTCGGCTGGCCTGGGAACGCCTCGGGATTCTCCTGAGGAGCTGGACCAAGTGGCTGGAGAGAGGGAAGTCTGGGCCTCCCTACTCCCGCGACCCGACCCCAGATAAGCGGAAGAAAATGGATGGATAGATGTAATAAAAAATAACGGGGATCTCCTGTTTATTATCAAGACACAGATGACTTCAGCATTATTCAGTAAATGACACCATGGCTCTCATTAGACAACTGCTGGCCTAGCTAATGTTTATCAAATTTGACGTATTGTCATTTATTTTCAAAGGGTTACCTTTAGAGCTACATGGCAAACAAGTGAGCAGCTAAACTAATAGAAAGTGCACTGAACATGAGATAAATACAAGCTGAAGTTTATTTCTGTTTTTTAATCAAATCTTATTCCAGCCGAACAGCTGATTAACTAGCTGTTAGCCGACTAGCTACAAAGCTAGCCCGGAAGTTCGACAAAAATAACGGTATGTGATCTTCCCCGCGGTATCAACAGACACTTTATCAAACACAAGATAAGTTCAAACACAACTTTACATTAGTAAGGGTTGATTTAAAATAAACACACCTTTTCGAGAGTAAAACAGCTACGGTGTTGTTACTACTTCCGTGTTTTCTTCTTCGTCTGTTTTACGAAGACAGACGTTATGGGTTTATACTGTGTTCCGCCACCTAGTGTACCGTAGGCTTGCGTATGAAACCGTTTTATTTTACAGCCTGCTGCGCGTATCATTTTTTCAGTTAGAATACAACTTAATTAATATACATCTTCACAGCAGACATTCATTTGATACTGATAATTGTGTATAAGAAGTATTTTAAGATTTAGAAAATAAAAAAAATAAGAATAAAATAAAATAAAAAGTTAAATTCAAAGCAGTCTTCTCCTCAGATAACGTCTTACATTGTTATTTTTATATATGGATGTTTCTGCTAACTTGTTTTGACATATAAATGTTTCTGTTCAATGCCCTGAGATGACTTCTGTTGTGACTTGGCGCTATATAAATAAACTGAATTGAATAGAATAGAAAATGCAGTTGTTGATTGGATGATTGTTGTGTAGGAGTCCCACAGGGCTCCATTCTTGGTCAGCTGTGTTTACCATTTGGATTTATGATTTATATAAAGTTCAATATCTATAATGAACAAAAATATAAATGCAATGATTTTGTTTATCTCTCATTTTTGTTTTCGCTCATATTTTTCATGAGCTGAACTCAAAGATTTAAAATATTTTCTATGTATACAAAAGGCTGTTTCCTCTCAAATATTGTTAACAAATTTGTTGAAATCTGTTATTAGTGAGCACTTCTACTTTGCCAAGATAATCCATCGAACTCGCAGGTGTGGCATATCAAGATGCTGATTAGGTAACACAATTTTTGCACAGGCACACCTTAGCTGCCCACAATAAAAGGCCACTCTAAAATGTGCAGTATTCTCTCACAGCACAATGTCACAAATTTTGAGAGAGTGTGCAATTGGCATGCTGACTGCAAGACTGTCAATCTTCAGAATATTAATAAATAATTATAATTAATTATTATAATGCAAAACATTATGAAGTTATACAGCATCCTAATGTTTTTGTAAAAGAGAAGAAGCTTGATTTTGTAAATTAAATTAGTGTTTCGAGTCCTCACTGGACTAATAAACACATTAAAATGTCTTATGGCTTTAAATAAATAAGAATACTTTCTGACACTTCCAGAATGATTACATATAAAATGCTTTTTACCATTTTTATCCCATGGATTGTTGTAACAATTTTCAAATTTCACGTTTGTTTATTATATATTTTTAATTTTATGTCGCTTTTTTGGTTTGTTAGCTTACGTGTGTTAGTTTTTGTCTATATTTGTGTTTTTTATTTACTGGTAGTCTTCTTTTTTTCTAAAGCTTTTTACCAGTGTACCATGATCTGTGGTAGAAAATTAGCCTTCATGGCTAAGTCTGGCTCATTTACAGGACATATCCATGATCATTAATGTTCATTGTCCTTTTTTAATACAATACCAATAAACAGTAAACATTTAAGCTGGAAACGTGTGAAACTTATCTTCTGTGGTTGTGTCATAAACATCAATTTATCTTTCTTCTTCCTCCCTATAATGTCCTGGTTACAGATTAACGTACGTGCAGTGACCTTTGTTTTCTGCAGCCCAGACCCTCTTCAAATGGATTTTCCAAATCACCCAGACCACATCTACTTCCTGTTCTTTTTTGTGCCACACGAACCTGTCTGGGACTTTTTATCGTCGTGCACATGTAACTGTGAGAGCAGATTTGATGTCAACACTGGTGCATGTGTGTGTTTATATTTGTGTCTCTGCTACCAGAACTCACGTGATCTATGGTTTTGGGACTTCCTCACGTCTTCAGCCTGTCTGTGCATTTTCCAAAAAGAGCGCTAGTATTGCCTCAGAGAGGAGTGCCACTGGTTTGGTCAGTGCTGAACACTGGGCAGAGTGTTTCACAAGTGGCAGCTAATTAATGACACAAATGTGACGACTGAAATTTATTACAGAACTCACAAATTTTCCAAAAATGTCCATCACACATGGGGACCTCAAATGGCAGGAACAAGACGCTGCTTGTACAACAGGTGCAGGTTTCCTACATTTCTCATGCGGGTACACTCGACGGATTTAGCCTGGCTTATCTGTAAGTGTACAAACAGCTTCATAACCACCCACATACTCTGCATATGAACTTCTATAAATGAGCGCCACACGACAACACACTTGAAGGCTGGAGCTGAACGTGTCCACAAGTCAGGATGAATAGAGGCTGCTGGAAACTGACCCTGGTTGTTCTGGTGCTGCTGATCAGCACAAACGCTGAAGGTAACTTCTAAAATCACACAAATTAAATGATCACATGTTAAAAGTGAGGTAGTTTTTTTGGGGAAACCGTTGAATACCAACTCAGTGAAATTAAATCCTGTTATTTGTTGTATTTTCTTCTTGTTTTGTGGGTTAATGATGAAAGGTGTGCATTGTGTGTAGAAGACAGAAATTCTTTGACAGTGCTGTCGTGACTTGCACAGAATGCGGTTTGGCATCATCTTTGCTGAAATTACGACGATCAGAGAAGAAGTGATGTGAACAGCAGCTCTAACACCTGCACACAGTCTGAAGTTAACGGTAGTTTTTAACCAAGCAGAGAACCGTGAGCAAGATACCAGCTTTACAACCATTAATACACAACTTTATTACTGTGAGCAAAGAAACCTGAAGAACACATTTATGATGATAATATTTAATGTTAAAGAACTAATTCTATTCATTGTTAACACATTTTTTTGTTGTTGTTTTGTGTGTGTGTGTGTATGGTGGAGTTTTTAACATCTGCAATGAGTTTTTTCCCGTGATTTCCACCACAGACGCTACAAATTCAGTTTTCGGTTTAGCCCATATTGTTCTTTAGCCTTTTCCCTTATGTACAGAGCTTTTTGAGTCTTACTGAAATTTTATATAATAGGGTTATAAATATTATTTCTGTTCTTAAAATAACAAATCTTATTTTAAATTGAGGAACTATTTAGACATAATGCTGATGACAGTGGTAAAGGTCCTCATTATCTTTACTTCTGTATGACTCAGCATGTTTATGATATGGTAACTTTTATTTTATGACCAATTTTTTATTTACTCAATGAACTTTCATTATGCGAGTGCTATTTCTATTAAGACCATTATTATCATCATGGATTTTTCAGGTTTCATTTTGCTCTAAGGACAAGATAAAACCTGTTTTACTCTGAGAATGATTACTATGTAACTGCGCTTAATTATCAAAGTTCATGCTCAATCATCCAGGTACAAAATCCATTAATGGTCAATCAGGTCATCTGGACAGTTTCTTTTTATGGAAAGATGTTTGTCCTTCTATCCAGAGGGCTTCATCAGTCTCAGGAGTCCCAAGTAAATTGTTTTCTCTACCAGGCAGTACACGCCTTTAGTGGACCAACCAGTTCAAATTCAAATTCAAATTCAAAAATACTTTATTAATCCCAAAGGGAAATTATTTGTTGTTGTAACTCGTTATCCTCATTTCATTAAGAGATGTTATCGATGCTGATGGCTGTAGGTAGGAAGGATCTCTTGTAAAGGTCCATCCCACAGTGGATCCTAAGAATCTGGCTGCAGATGCTGTCCGATCCGTCCACCCAGACTCGGCTGGCCTCTCGGTTCCCCTGGACTGTAGGACCAGCTGAATGCCAGGCAGAACTCCTCCCAGAGTGATGGCCACTCCTCCCAGCAGTCTGCCGAGCTCCTCGTCGCTGCGGACAGCCAACTGCAGGTGCTGAGGGACGATCCTGTTCTTCTGCTGTCGTGAGCCGTGTTTCCTGCTAGTTCCAGGATCTCAGTGGTCAGGCACTCGAGCACAGCTGGCAGGTAGATGAGAATGCGTCCACAGAACATCCTTTCAACTCGAAATCAGCTGCACAGCATCCGATACCAAAGGAAACAATCATCCAAAAAACACGATTTACATCCAGAAAAAGAGGAATCACAGTTTCCAAAAGCAAAATCTCAGAATGAAAGTAACAGAGCTGCTCCAACATGCAGCCACCTGGAGCGGCGCAATTCTAGAACACAGATCAGTTTGCTGCTGATAAGATGGTTTCATGGTTCTTAATTACTTACAGTCCAGTGAGACTTCAAATTAAAATTCATTTGCATTTTTTAATAAAACATTTGGTAAATGTTTTTTAAATGAGTTAGTCTCCTAACAGTAACCTGCTAGCACAACAAAATGATTGTAGCTCTTCTATACATCCATCATCTTCGCTCGCTTCTTCCTTTTCGAGTCATCCATTTTACATCTTGTTGTTTTCCTCCAGCATCATTTTCCTGCCACATGACGGACTTCATTAAGGCTGTAAAGCAGGTGGAAGACTGGGACCCTGGCTCTGAGCCGGCGGCTGTGTTGAAGAAGCTGCGCAGGGCGGCTGGTCTTAACGATGCATTCATTCAGAACTACCTTGGAAATGCTGACGTCAGTGGCTCCAAACTGGACCGTAACCTCTCAACTTACATCCGCCAAGTTGTTCACCACAGAGTGCTGGAGGACTCCAGAGAAGAGGGAGTGGTTCTGACTCTCGATGGTACCACTGTTGCCCTCGGACCGCTCCTCCTGGGTCTGGAGGCTGGCTTCTCCAAGGCTCGCGCTGCAGGCCTCTACCAGCTGACTCTGGCTAAAGATCTGGGCCTTGCTCTCAGACACAGCTCTCCTGAAGCACATCGTTTCGGGCCAGATGGTTGCTGGGACAACCTAACCTCTCCTCAAGTCTTCACCCTCTCAGACAAACCGTCCCTATTAACCACAGCTCAGGTCAACGGTGGTATGGATGGCGTGGTACTGGGGAGGGAGGTTTCTGCCAATTCCAGAGGTCCTCTCAAGCTCAGCAGCCTCCTGACAGAGTACTACAGCCAGCAGCTAGGCAGCAAGGGAATGGATGGAGCGCCGCGTCTCATCAGCCGACGTCGCAGGGAGAACTTTAAAACCATTGTCAACCCATTGTTGTTGGCCAGACATGTGGTGAAGTCAGTGAACCTGCAGCAGACACTGGAAGGACACGCAAAGATGGCGGCCAAGAAGAAGCAGCTGATGGCTGTGGTGAAGAAGGCAATGAAAGAATTTGTCCACGTGTACCTGGGTGAGCATGAGTTCAAATAAAAATAAAAAAAAGGAGCTGAGAGGTCGTCATTGACGCGTTGTACGATGCTTACGTTCTGAATGTGTTCCAGATTGTCCGCCCTTCATTCCTCGCTGTATGTGGGGGGCAGAGCCATACAGAGGGACACCCACCAACCTGACCCTGCCTCTGTCCTTCATGTACATCCATCACACCCACACTCCGAGCCAGCCCTGTCTGACCTTTGAGCAGTGCTCTGCCGACATGCGCTCTATGCAGCGCTTCCACCAGCAAGACAGAGGCTGGGATGACATTGGATACAGGTAAAATAACATTAGCTTACGTCTGCGTGCCTCAAGTGTACAAGTGGAATAATCCCAAACATCTGTGCTCCCAAAGCTTTGTCGCCGGCTCTGATGGGTTCATCTATGAGGGTCGAGGGTGGCACTGGCAAGGAGCCCACACTTTAGGACACAACTCCAAAGGTTACGGAGTTTCCTTCGTTGGAGACTACTCCGCCCGGCTGCCATCGCAGCACTCCATGGAGCGGGTGAGAGACCAGCTGGCGTCCTGTGCTGTAGGGGGTGGGCGGCTGGTGCCCTCCTTTACTGTGCAGGGTCACAGGCAGGTGGTGAACACAGCCTGTCCAGGAGAAGCGCTCTACCAAGAGATCCAAGGCTGGGAACACTTTGGGGTATGTAGGAACACTCGCTGGTGTTGTGGGGGCAAAAATAAAAAGAGTTCTACTGTGGTGCTTAAAAGTTTGTGAACTCTTTCTGATTTTCTATATTTCTGCATCAATCTGACCTAAAACATCATCAGATTTTCACACAAGTCCTAAAAGTAGATAAAGAGAACCCAGATAAACAAATGAGACTAAAATATTATACTTGGTCATTTATTTTTTTATGAAAATGATCCAATATTACATATCTGTGATGGTAAAAGTATGTGAACCTCTGATTATCAGTTAATCTGAAGCTGAAATTAGAGTCGGGTGTTTTCAATCAATGGATGATGATCAGGTGTGAGTGGAC